AAGCCATCAAACACTAACATCCATACCCTGGGATTCCCAGAAGAGGGAGTTGGCTCAAATACAGTAAGCAACAACTTCCCAAATGTGATGGAAGACATAAATATTCACATCTGACAAGCTCAATGAACTAAGGAGGATTAACTCAAAGACACCCGGATTGAGACACACGGCCAAACTATGCCACCTCAAACACAGGAAGAAAATTGAAAGCAGTCAGACAGCAGCAGTTGTCACACAGAAGGAAACTTCAATGAACTGCCAAGGCCAAAAGGCAGTGAGATAAAGAACCTGAAGAAAAGCCTGTCAGCCAAGAATTTTAAAGCCAGCCTTCAAGAAGGAAGGAAAAATAAGACATTTCCCAAGGCAAAAGCTGAGGGTCCATTTGCAGCTGAGCTGTCATGCAGGAAATGCTACGAGGTAATCCTTTAGTCTGAAATAAAATGACACAAGACAGGTAACATGAAACCCTGAAAAACTAAAGAACAATGCTAAACATACTTCTTAGGCTGTATTCCCGTGTAGCCTGGTACTCCTATCGGACTTAAAAGGCAGATGCAGAAAACCAACTGCAAGTCTTTCAATGTGAACATCATGCACGAAGATGTGAGCTACAACGTCAACATCAAGATGGACAGGTACAGAAGCAGCCTGTCTACACACTGCTCATTCATGCTGACTTCCTTTCATTACATCTAGTTCGAGTGTCAATTATAATTCCCCAAATAACTACTGAAAAGGGCGCTTTAAATATGGCAACAAAGTGAATAAAAATGGCCCAAGTCAACTAAATATAAAAAAGGGCTATAGCTGGGCACGGTGACACACACCTGTAATCCTAGGAGGAGGAGCTCAAGTTCCAGGCAAATGAGCTACATAGAAAGATTTGTCTTTTAAAAAGAAAAAAAAAAGCTGGGCTGGAGAGATGGCTCAGTGGTTAAGAACACTGCTCTGGCAGAAGACCCAGATTCAAATCCCAGCACCCACATGGCAGCTAACTGTCCATAACTCCAGTTCCAGGGGATCCGAAGGCCTCTTCTGTCCTCTGCAGGTATTTGCACAACACAGGTGCACTTACATACATGCAGGCAATACACTCATACATATAAAATACAAATAATAAATAATATTTTTTAAAAAATAAGGGCTGGAAAGATGGCTCAGCAGTTAAGAGTACTGACTGCTCTTGCAGATGACTTAGGTTCGATTCCCAGCACCCACATGGCAGCTAACAGCCGTCTGTAACTCCAGTTCCAGGGGAAATCCAATATCCTCTTCTGACCTTCATGGGCATTGCACAACGCACATACTTACATACATGCAGGCAATACACTCATATACATAAAATAAAAAATAAAAAATTTAAAAATAAAAATAAAAACATAAATAAAAATTGGAAAGGGCAGAAAGATGGCACAGTGGGTAAAGATACTTGTTGCCAAGTCTGGTGACCTGAGTTTTATTCCCAGGACCAACATGGTGGAAAGGAAGAACTCCTGGAAGTTGTCCTCTGACTTCCACGCAAGCAGTATAGCACATGAGCACCCACATATATACCTCCCCACACATGCACATATACACATGAACACATATAAATGTAAAAAAAATTGTGGAGATGGCTTAGTGGTTAAAAGCATTTGCTGCTCTTATAGAGGAGCCAAGTTTGGTTCCCAGGACCCACATCAAGTGGCTCACAACTGCCTATTAACTCCAGCGCCAGGGGATCTGATGCCCTCTTCTGGTCTCCACAGGCACCCACACACATGTGGCATACACACAGAGACACAAAACTGAAAACAAAATATATCTCCTCCTAAGATAAGAAACTGTTAAATTGGTTCTAAAAAGACAACTTACTCATGTTGGGACTTTCACTTTTTAAAAAAAACTTTTTATTGAATTTTTGTAATTTTCATGCAATATAATTTGATGGTATTTAGATCCCCTCCCCTATCCACATCTCCCCTTACTGACCCTGCTCCATTTACTTTACTATATCTGTATAAAATATGATACTATATATAAAATACAATCTATAGAGTCTACTTTGCATCCCAAATGTCCTTCAGTACGGGTCCATTCACGGGAGCCTGGTTAACCTACCAAGAATCCCATTCCTATAAGACACTGTCTCTGTCCCTCTTAACAGCCACCAATTGCCAAAAGTTCCTTAGGCAGTGTTGGGGATTCTTACCCACTTCTTCATGTCTATGCTGGGATTTTGTCTGGTTTGAGCTTGCATGGAACTTGTGCATGCTATCACCACTGATGAGAGTTTGTATGAGTAACTCATCAGCTGTCTGGAAAACTATGTTTCCTTGTGATCATCCACTACCTCTGACCCTTACAATCCTTCAGCCCCTCTTTTGACATGAGGACATTAAAAAGATTAAAAATAAAAGGTTAAAAAAAAAAGTTCCAGGCTAGAGAGATGGCTTAGCGGTTAAGAACACTGACTATTCTTGCAAAGGACCTGGGTTCAATCCCCAGCACCCACCTGGTGGCTAACAACCACCTCTAACTCCATTTCCAGGGGAGCCAATGCTTTCTAACCTCCATGGGCATTGCACAACACAGGTGCATTTACACACATGCAGGCAATACACTCATACACATAAAATAAGAATAATAAATAAAATATTTTTTCAAATGTTCCATGGAGGCCACGCTTTTAATCCCAGAGCTCAGGAGGCAGAAGCAGGTGGATCTCTGTGAGTTCAAGGTCAGCCTGGTTTACATAGTGAGTTCCAGACCAGCTGCTGCTGTCTCAAAAAGACCAAAAACCAAACAAACAAACAAACAAACAAAAAAACAAACAAAAAAAAGTTAAGCCAGGCATGGTAGAGCACAACTTTAATCCCAGCACGCAAGAGGCAGAGATACGTGGATCTTGGTGACATCCCAAACAACAACAACAAAAAAAACAGCCCAACTCCAGTAGCCCAAAATAGCAAAGATGTATGGATGATATTCTAAAATCCTGTCAGGCTCTGAAATACGGGTTTTCTGCCACTTTTCTGAGGGACTCTTTCTGTGCAACAGAAGAATGACTTCAAACCAGGGGCCAAAGCAGACATTCCAGGCTTCAACTGTTCACATGAAACCACTGTGGAACTAGTGCTCCCCCAGTGGGTGAGCCTGGGAACTCAAGTCTAAAGATTATTAGCATGTGTAAGGAGATACAAAAGTAGAAGGTTTTGCAAGTAATGTAAGTACTCTGACGATTTATAGAGTATCTTACACAAGGGCACTGACCAGGGACAATGCTTGGGATAAGACCAAGAATTAGAAATTGGCTAGACAGTTTAAAGACCCCAAAAGAAAAATGACCAGTTTCTTTCTTGGCTGAGAGCTGGAAATTCCCTTGGACCGGCCAGTAAACTTGTCCCTACCTGAGGCTACAGATGCCAGAACTATCCATCCAAAGATGTCTCTGATTGCACCAGAGCTAGAGGCTGGCGATGCCAGTAAGGGGGTCTGGTTTTCTCCACATCTCTCCTTTTCCTGGCGTAATACCCTGTTCTTGGAAGACATGCTGAGGACGTGACCAGGACCTCGAGGGACCTGGACACATGGAATGAGAACTAGACTGACCAGCGCATCTCCCTCTCCCCTCCTCCCTCCACTAAATCCTTATTAACACCTGAGTAATAAGAGGCAGTGGACTCCCATTCCCAGGGCCCCTCCTGCTGCACAGGAGTTCTGCTTCTCTCTCCTAAGCTTCCTATAATAAAATACTCCTTTCTAAAATTCATCCTCTGTGGTCCATGAATTTCATTCTTCAAATTTGCCCAACAAGAACCTGAAAGCCTCTGGCTTGAGGTGGCTTTGGGGGCCGTTGGGTTTCCGGAACCCTAGCCTCTCAAGCTATGTACAACAGAGCCAAGAAAGGCTCTGTGCTCTCAAAGACACCTTGATATTCCTGTATCATTTAGAATTCTGAAGGCCAGAGGATGGGAATAGCTGGGAACTGCCTAGAAACAGTGTGTCTCCTGTCTCCTCTCTGAAATATCGCCGTATGTCTCGCAGTATCTCTCCTCCCACATCCTAGTGTCTTACTGTGTCTCTCACAATACATCTCATGTTTAAAATAGCACACATATCTGAAATGACGTTAACCAAGTGTCTGATGATGGAATTTGGAGTGATTTCTTTCTTCTTTGCAATACTGTTTAAACTCTGCATAATGGTCCTGTAATATTTTTAAGTGAAAAATAAAAAGAACACTGTACTTTAAAAAAAAATCCTGATTACAGCAAACCAGCTCATTTTAACATTCCTTATTCTCTCTCTCTCTCTCTCTCTCTCTCTCTCTCTCTCCTCTCTCTCTCTCTCTTTGAAAAAAAGTTTAAAAAGACAAGGTCGCTGGGCATGGTGGCACACGCCTGCAATCCCAGCACTTGGGAGGCAGAGGCAGGCAGATCTTTGTGAGTTTGAGGCCAGCCTGGTCTACATCATGAGTTCCAGGACAGCTGGGGCTACAGGGAGACCCTGTCTCAAAAAGACAAAAAAAAAAAAAAACAAGGTCAGCCAGGTGTGGTGCCTTTAATCTCAGCACTTGGGAGCCTCCCCACTCCTCGGGGCCCTCCTCCACCCCTCTTTCCACCCACAGTGACAAAGTAAGGCCCCATGGCACAGGCCCAACAGGGCAGAGGACAGACCCAACATTTGTAGGAGGAAGTGCGGCCTGAACAACCAGCGCATGCATGCTGCAAACGCACCAAAAACATCCCGCTGAGGCAAACCTGTGTTCTGCCAAAAGACAGAGAAGGCTGATGCAAAAATGGCCTGATACAGAGAGCCAATGAGGAACAAACACGACCTATCAATGGACCAATGGGACACTGGGAGGGGGGGATATAAGGGAGCCCCATATATCTGCAGCTGCTCGCACTGCCTGCTTCTCACCTGACTCCCGGAGTCTGTGTCGTGATTCTGAGTCGACTCTACCCTGCCCGGAGGGCCCTAGGACACCTGCAACAGATATTGACAAAGTTTCTCACCAGGAAGATGTCCGCATAGCCAGCCAAGGACTCCACTCCCTCCTGGATGCGAGCACCTCCAGAGTCATTCAGCCCAATCACCGGAGCCCCCACTGTTAAAGCCTGGTCCATGATCTAAAAGGGAAGAGAAAATCCCGTGAGACATTTACTCTGGTTACCAAGAACAGTACTAATAAAACCTTGCTGGACCAGGGAGATGGCTCTGTGGGTGAATGTGTTACCAGACTTTGGGGCCACAGTTTGTGCCCCAACAAGCCAGGTTCAGCCATTCAGCCACCTGTTTGCCTTTCTCTCTCTCTGTCTTCATGCATGTATTTTTATTGTTTTAATTGTTTATTGTGTATGTTTTTTGCCTACATATATGTAAGTGCAGTCATGAATGCAATGCCCACAGAGGTCAGAAAAGGACATTGAACTTCCTGGAAATGGAGTTACAGACCATTGTTAGCCATGAGGGTGTTGGAAATTGAACCTGGGCCCTCTGCAAGAGCATCAAGTACCCATAACCACTGAGAGGTCTCTCTAGCAACCCTACCAGTTCTCAATAAACCAATTAAAGGAGATTTAGTCAATGTGGCTACATTCGGAAGAGGAACAAAGAGAACCAGGAACTTCCCCAATTCCAGCCTCAGAGGTTCTGACATGAGGGTAGGAATTAAATAGAAAGCAAGATATACACATAAAACTAAGAAATCAAGCAAGGTGTGGCCAGGTATCCACCATGGCCTCAGCTCCAAGTATTGTTGGTGAGGCAAGTCTCTCCAGAAAGATCATCTAACCAGTTGTAAATCTTTCTCCAGGAGACAAGTTTCTCTGCAGGCTGCCCCCCAGGGCTCCAGCTTTTTCCTCTCACAGCAGATTCCCAGGGAAATTCTAATTCCTTGGGTCATTCTTCAATAGTCTGATGGCCAAAGAGGGGAGCCCAAATGTCTCTAGAATATATTCCTTCCTGCCACAGGTGGGTTACAGAAACACCAAACGGTGAGACCAGAATTTGATCCCCAGAACCCACTATGGAAGGAAAGATCCACAAGAGAATGAACCCCTGGAAGTTGTTCTCTGACACGCACACGCATGAACACACAGTTTAAAAAAATAAAATAGCAGGGTGTGGCTGTGCTCGCCTTTAATCCCAGCACTCCAGAGGCAGAGGCCAGCCTGATCTACATAGTGAGTTCCAGGTTAGCCAGGGCTACACAGTGATACCCTGTCTCAAAATAAAATAAAATAAAATAAAGCACATTATTTTCTGGAAAATATTTTCCATTGTACTTTTCCAAACAGGAAGCAGTAATGCTGATTTCAATTCTCACAATGCCAGGACACCTTTAAGGAAGAAAAAGGACCAGGTATTTTCTTTTTTTTTTGTCTTTTTGAGACAGGGTCTCCCTGTAGCCCCAGCTGTCCTGGAACTTACTATGTAGACCGGGCTGGCCTTGAGCTCACAGAGATCCGCCTGCCTCTGCCACGGCCAGCCCCCAGGACCAGGCTGATAGAAGCCCTGAACACCCAGGATCCACAGCATTTTGCCTTTAGCAAAGGATAAGTGCTCAACCACTTCCAGGGCCACAGGCCCAGCCTATGATTATTTTCAGTGGCCAGTTTTATTGCCAGTACTTCTACGAAAGAACTAATGGCAGACAGAATAGCAAAGTAGCATTTTTGTGAAAGCACAGACTGACCCATCTATTAACCTGAGGCCAAGTCCAGGCCTGCTTTTACTTCTACTGTGACAGTTTTCCTCATGTGTCAAAAGCTATGACGGCGTAACGTGCAGCATCCCTACAGCCATAGACAGTTTGCAAAGCACATTTACTTCCACTACCTCATTTAAGCATTATAACAGAAGCAAGAAAAAGGAAGATTGAGAGGGTTTAAAGATGATTGATCCAGTGTCTCGGGAGTAATACATGACAGGATGTGTCTAGAATCCAGGCGCTCCATTATGGGGAAACGCTGCCCACCTACTAATGGTCAGTTCAATCTTCCAAAATTCTCCAAACATGAAGTATATCTATACTGTTCCCAGTGCGCCTCAACCTAGCAGGGTTTTGTTTTGATGGATTTGTAGTTGTTGTTTGGTTGGGGTTTTGTTTCTGTATGTTTTGTACTGAATCCAAGGCCTTCCACGTTGGGCAAGCACTCCACCACAGAGCTATAACCACAGTCCTCTAGAGTGTTTTTAAAATAATGCCATGCAATCTTTGCACTGCTCTTTACATTTTAGCACCTGGACTCTCCAACTAATCCTGAAATTCTTTACTTAGGGTCTTCAGAATCTCAAAGGTAACTGTGAACAGATACATGAGTCTATGAACTTGCACTGGAAAAAATTTATACTTTAACCTAATTCTAGCAGATCTTTAGCAGTTCCCTCATTTATGACATAGGCAACAAACCTCAGTAGCATTAGAAATAACCTGTACCTTTGCCACTAGTAGAAACCAGACAGTATTTATCACATTAAAGTGGCCAAGATCTGGAGGCTGGAGAGACAGCTCAGCTGTTAAGAGCACTGAGAGCTCTTGCAGAAGACCAGGTTCAGTTCCCAGCACCCACATGGTGGCTAACAACTGTCTATTACTCCAATTCCAGGAGAATCCAATACTCCTCAGGCATTGCACACATGTGGTACATCTACACACATGCAGGGAAAACATGGTCAAGATGTATTTTCACTTGTGCCTGCTCAGATTCACTACTAAATCTCATTGTTTAATGCATTAATAAGTACATGTATTATGATTTTTGTTTACTTTTGGTTTTTTTTTTTTTTTTTTTTTGGAAACAAGGTCTCACTATGTAACACTGGCTGGCATGAAACTCACTCTGGCTGGCCTTGAACTTACAGTGATCTGCCTGCCTCTTCTTTCAGAGGGCTGGGATTAAAGATGAGTGCCACCATACCCGACCTACAAATATGCTTTCAACCCTTACTGCTAGAAGCCAGAGGTGTCTTCCTCTATCACGCTCAACTTTATTTTTTAAGACAGGGTCTCTCACTGAACAAGAAATTCACATGGTATAGGTCAGACTGGCCAGTCAGCAAGGTTCTAAGATCCACCTGTCTCTGTCCCAGACACATGTGACCATGCCTGGCTTTTATATGAGTGCTGGGGATTTGAACTCAGATCCTCTTGTTTTGGGGTTGTTTTTTTGTTTTTGTTTTTTTTTCGGTCTTTTTGAGACAGAGTCTTCCTGTAGACCAGACTGGCCTTGAACTCACAGAGATCCATCTGCCTCTGCCTCCCAAGTGCTGGGACTAAAGGCATATATGCCACTGCGCCTAGCCAGATCCTCTTGTTTTCATAGCAAATGCTCTTATCCACTCAGCCATCTTTTCAGTCCTCAATCCTTTGTACTCTTATGTGTTATTTTATGCATGAAGAAAAGTGAGAGTTACCAGGAGTAGTTGTACACACATGCAATTCCAGCACTTGGCAGGCTAAGGCAGAAGCACCAGGAGTCTTAGTGTAGGCTACAAAAAGAAAAAAGGTGGAGAGATGGCTCAGCCATTAAGCAAGGACCCAGTTCTCACATCAGGCAGCTCACAACAAGTGCCTGTAAGTCCAGCTCCAGGGGAATCTAGTGTTTTGGCCTATGAGGGCACCTGTACACATACCCACAAAGAGATACAGACATACACAATTGAAAAATGAAAACAAATTTTAGAAAGAAAGAAAGGGCCGGGGGTGGGGGTGGGTGGTAGCACATGCCTTTAATTCTAGCATGGGGGGGTGGGGCAGATCCCTATGACTGAGATTGAGGCCAGTCAGGTCTATATATAGTGAGTTCCAGACAAGCTGGGGCTACAGGAGAGAGAGAGAGAGAGAGAGAGAGAGAGAGAGAGAAAGAGAAAGAGAGAGTGAAGAAAGAAGGGAAAGAAAGAGAAAAAAGAAAGGAAGGCAGGGAGGGAAGAGAAGGAAAGGAAAAAGAAAGTGAAGGTATAGGCTTCACCAGAGTCAAGGAGATAGCACAGAAATATTGAACGTGGGGATGGAGAGATGGCTCAGTGGTTAAGATCACTGGCTGCTCCTGCAGAAAACCTGAGTTTGATTCCCAGAGACCACGTGATGGCTAACAACCACTTATAACTCCAGTTCCAGGGGGATCTGATACTCTCTTCTGTCCTCTGCAGGTACTATACAACACAGGTGCACTTATATAAATGCAGGCATAACACTCATACACATAAAATAAAAATAAACAAATCTAAAAGAATATTGGAAGCAGTATGTTAAGAATCCGTTCTGGTTGGTACCACAGCTTGCACAAATCTGCTATACCTCTTACCCAGCTCAATTTATTACCCCCAAAATACTCAACTTGTATGACACAGCTAATGAAAGTATTTGGTTTATTTCAACATTAAACACTCACTTTGCAAATCTTTTGGGCATGTGCTCCAGACAGACTGCCTCCAAAAACTGTAAAATCCTGAAAAGAAACACAATTAAACCAGTGAGTAAAATATGACTGGCCAGAGATGAAGACCCAGAAGGAAGAAATTAAAAGCTCAAAACATTTTAAAAGGCATTTCTGAGGCTGAAAAACATGGGGAAACTCTTAATTCGTAGATATTGTGCAAAATAGTGAATAAAATATCTCAAAGGGATTTGATGTCGGAACAAGAGCAAAGGACTTAGTCTTTGCTCTACAAAAGTGCCTCAGAGTTCTGAGGAAATAACGCAGGATTAACGCTCCATTTCCATTTCCAGGCAGTATCTGTGGCTTCTGACAGGAGGAGATAAAAGGGAACCAGAGCCCTCCCATGCCTGGAGTTCAGAACTTCCATTACCTTCACACTACAGGGCAATGAAAACCAAACAGTTGAGGGTAACTGAAAGCACAGGTAAACCACCTGACTGGGAGGGAGAAGACAGTAGCCCACACCTGCAAAGAGGGCAGCCAAGGGGCGGAACCACCCAAGAACCAAGGAAAGTTGGGGGTGATGTGGGGGCTAAAACAGGAATAAGTCTGTGTTAGAAGACCTCAGAGGATTTGTCCTTCACCTTGAGAGGGGAAAGTGTACTCGTCCAAAGAAGCGAATGAGACACCTGGGCTCACAATCACTGGCCTAAAAGAAGGCAAAGATAAGGCTGGACAAATGGTGAGGTTGGAAGCCTGAATACTAAAGGAGCTTTCCTGGCTCTTCCCACCTCTCCTCCCCGTAGAACGTGCCATCAGCCAATAATCAAGCAGGGGAACAAGGATATTTTTCTGGAAATAAAGGAACACCCCAGAAAAACCACCTGTGCTAGAATCCTGAGATGACAACAAAAATGCTGCTTTATAGCCGGGTGTGGTGGCGCATGCCTTTAATCTCAGCGCTTGGGGGGCAGAGGCAGGAGGATCTCTGTGAGATTGAGGCCAGCCTGGTCTATATAGTGAGTTCCAGGCAAGCTGGGGCTACAGGAGACCCTGTAACAAAAAGACAAAAAAAGCTAAATTCAGTGTCCTTCAGGCCTCTTTCAAATGTCCCATCTTCCCTAATCCCTTTCTCAAAACTGGAAATGTTCTGCCTTGTGCATTTTCCTGGAACCTCTTGCACCATGTCTGTGCTGTAGACACCTGCTCTGTCCATTCTACCTATAAAAGAACATTTTCAGAACAAGGGCCCTGTCTCCTCATTACCACCTGCTTGCTCCCACATACTCCAGGGGCAGAGGAGGAGCTCAAAAGCATCAACTCCATGAATGTGAATTTCTATAAAGGCTTCAAGTAGTCAAACATCATGCCCAGAAAACATAATAACTTTCTCTGTTCTATCATTTCCATGCCCCTTCTCTATGAATTTTCTCCCCTCCCTTATAAATTAAAAGACTGCAAATGTGATTCTTCCTAGTTTAGCATTTAGCAGACCTAGTTATAATACAGTTTTAGAACATTTCAAAGGTAATCAGTAAATAAGTACTGTCTAAATATAATAAATTTAAAGTTAACCACACAAAACTATTTTAATATCAGATTCAGAAAACAGTTTAGGTTCCTAGACACGCTACATAATTTTATGAATGTAAAAGCAGCTGACATTTAGGATTCTATAAACATTTCCACCTGCCACAGGAGGGGGAACATCAAATGCAAAGAGCACACAAAATACTCTGTTACTTTCTACTGCTGCTGTAACAAATTAACACAAATGCATGGGCTTGGGGCTGGAGAGATGGCATAGTAGTTAAGAGCCCGGTCTGCTCTTCTAGAAGACCCAGGGTCAGTTCCAAGCTGCCACATGTCAGCTAACAGCTGTCCATAACTCCAGTTCCAGGGGGTCCGATGCCCTTTTCTGGCCTTGACAGGCACTGCATAAGATGGATGACTAACACACACATGCAGACAAAACACACGTACACATAAAATTAATAAGTCAAAAAGAAAATTTAAACCAAACAAATGCATGGGCTTAAAATACTCATAAAATCAAAATAAATAAAATTTAAAAAAACAAACAGATGTTTATTATCTCACAGTTCTGTAGTTTAGAAGGACCCTCTCATGGGCTCCAGTGACTAAAACCAAGGTCGACAGGGCTGGGACCTCACAGGAGGCTTTAGGGGCAATCTGTTCACCTTCTCTAGCTGCTTACACAGAGACAGCACCCACTCCTTGTCTCACAGAACCCGCCACCTTCAAAGGCAGACACAGTGGGTCAGTTCCTCCTCACACTGCACCTTGATGACCTCTCTCTTCTACTTCTCAGGACCCCTGTGATTACACTAGGCCCGCCTGGATAATCCAGGCCATACTCTCATAAATTCTTCTTTACCATGTCAGGTAACACTCTTACAGTTTACAGATTAAGATTTGAATGGGGGGGTGCTGGGCATAGTGGTACATGCCTTTAATCCCAGCACTTGGGAGGCAGAGGCAGGTGGATCTCTGTGATTTCAAGGCCAGCCTGGTCTATAGTGAGTTCCAGGACAGCTGGGGCTTCAGGGAGACCCTGTCTAAAAAGAACCCCCCAAAAAAGATTTGAATGGGGCGGGGAGCATTTGGAGATTGGCTGCTCTTACAGAGGACCCAGGTTCCGTTCCTGGCACCCACATGACAGCTAACAACCATCCCTAACTCTAGTTCAGGGGATGCGACACCCTCTTCTGACCTCCATGGGCATTGCATGACACAGGTGCACTTATATACATGCAAGCAATATACTCATACACATAAAATAAAGATAATAAATAAATTTTTAAAAAAGATTTAGACAAGGGGTAGGGTGTTTTATTCTGCCTACAAGATTTTCAAGTCTCAGCGTGTATAAACTGGACCTGTCTTGATGCAGCTTTACAAAATGTGTTAGAGCACTTTCATAAAAGTCCAAAGCTTAGGAGCCTGTGGTTCTAAGAGCCAATCCTCTTGACCTAGGCTGCATCTGGATACAGACACACAGACACACAGACACACACAGACACACACACACACACACACACACACACAATAAACACTGCCAAAAAGGAATCTCACCTGTTCCTCAAACAACTTCCTACAAGCCTACTGCCCTGCACTCCTCCCCCAAGAAACTAAGGACTCTTCCTTCCTAAGAAAACAGCATAGCTCTACATATGAAAATGAAAATCAAGAAAATAAATTCTTCATCTGCCCCAAACTATAAGCAAGAATACATTTCCCAAAATTGCTTTCTTTCACATATTTTGTTCCTGCCTGTACCAGGCAGGGAAGCTCAGTTTATTGGAGTAACGACACACCTGACTGAAGACATAAACCAATCTTCCATTGATTCGACCCCGTCCAGTGACCACGCTGTCTCCAGGAAACTATCAGAGAAATGAAAAGTAAAGGTCAAAAACTCCAAATACTTTTTAGTAACTCTGACACGCCTTAATGTTGAAAACAAGCAAAATACTAAATTCCCTAAGGTTCAATTTGAGGAAGTTGAATAAGGACCAAGGAAGAATCCCATCCCCACCTTCCTGGCTCTGCAAGGGGTTACTGCTGCATCAACAAGAGGGAAGGACAATGTAGTCTTAGGGTTCATCTTCCTTCTAAAAACAAAATTTTAGAGGTTATAGCCCTGTGGGAATCACTGATTTAGCATACATCAGTTCCTGGGTTTGGTCTCCAGAACTACAAGTTATAAAGAAAACAAAAGTTTTTTCAAAGGCAAAATAACTAAGAAACACCTAGGTCACCACTGCCACATACTCCTGAGAAGAACATGTAAGGAAACATAGCAGGTACATGCCTATAATCCCAGCAAGAGCTAAGAGGGGAAGACCACTGCAAGTTCAAGGCTAGCCTGGACTACATAGTGACCCTCAAAAAATAAATACATAAAGGAAGCTTCTCCAAAGTCACCCCTGCCCCCCAAATTGCTAAGAGGCACGGAAATTCAGCAATCAGTGTGCTCATAATAGGAGCCAGCCAAATTTAGAAATCTTTGGTCACTGACAGTATCAATGTGGAAAACTGGTCAAAAGTGAATCCAAAGGACTCTATGGACCCATGAAAAGCACTCTGGCTTTGCTGACCTCGGAATCTCAGAGGCCCCAGGTGTATGGGGCAGGCCTGTGACTCTAGCACTCAGGAAGCTGGGGCCAAGCAGATCAAGAGTTCAAGGACAGCCTGTCTGATACAAACTCAAATAATAAACAATAAAAACCACCCCCACAACATAAACTTAAGGAATATCAGAAGCAGCAACTAGCTTACATTTAGACTAGAACACATTTAAATTCACTCTCACAATCTTCATTTCCAAATCTGTTATTCTATGTGAGGAAGAACTGAACCTACATCCTGAGAAACTGGGCCTAAATCACACTGCAGAGAGTACAGTCACCATATTTCAGGTGAAGGAGAGGCTGAGGGCCACATCAGCCCCTCTCCAGGGGACTTGGGATAGACGCTACAGAGACCATTGCTCTGGTGGGAAGGCCAGCAAGCCACAGTTGGAAAGTATTTGCATCACCATAGAACAGATACCTTATTCTTATCAGCAGCCATCCCGAAATCAGCACATCTGTGTTCCACAAACATGTCACTCTCCACAAAGCTGCCTGGATCCAGTAAGAGGCTGATCCGCTCCCTGGCGGTTAGCTTTCCCTGCAACACAAAAAGGTTCGCTGGTGACGTCATCGCAGACAAAGTTAATAAGCAGGTAAAGGGTGCTGGCAGGAGGGCCAAGAACACAGGTTTTGCCTCTTCACCCCAATACAAAACCCTCCATTCTGCCTGTCCTGCCCAAGGCAGACAGGTTTTATCAACATACTTTGTTTCAGTGAAGAAAGTAGGGTAGACAGGATGCTTCGGGAACCACCTGATTGTGAAAGGTAAATCGGAAAGAGGACAAGGCAGAAACAAGAAACTAGAAACCTAGGGAACTTTAAAGAAGAAAGGAAGCAGGTGGATGTCTGTGAGTTCAGCCTGGTCTCCACAGTGAGCTGTAGGCCAGCCAGGGCTACATAGTGAGACCCTGTCTCAAAAAACCAAAAAATGAAAAAGAACAGAGAAGCAGGAGGTGGGAAAGTAAGGCAGACTTAGTGAAGGTCTGACCTTTCCAGGCTCTGTCTGGGGAAGCCTACAGACAGACACCTCACAGGCACAACCCTCCCTCCTGAGAGAGCCTCTGCCGCATAGGCACTTCTGGTTCTCCAGCCTCCACATGGGGTTTCTCTTCTTTCTACCATCCTAAATTGCAAGTCCTGCTTAGAGACTCCATACCTGACAGAGAGAACCCCACAGCAGGGAGCTGCGGAGTAAAAGGGGAAGGTGCCGATGGTGCTGAAGAGTCTGCAGGGTGGAGAGATGGCTCAGCTGGTGAAAGGGCTTCTCATGCAAGCCTAGCAACCTGAGGTCCGTCCTGGAACCCAAGTAAAGGTGGAATGAGAGAACCAACTCCTCGAAGTTGTCCTCTGGCCTCCACACTCACTGTGGCATGCACCCCCCCCCACATATATCATAGACATGCACAAATAAATAAATAAATAAATAAGTATTTTTTTAAGTTTGGAGAGAGTTGGGTTTTTTTAATCAAGAAAATGGCTGAAAATGTAATTCAGTTGATGGTGTGCTTGCCTAACATACTCAAAAGCCTGGGTTTGATCCCCAGTACCACATAAACTTGGGTACGGTAATGAAGATCTATAATCCCAGTGCTCAGGTGGAGCAGAAGGATGGGAAATTCATCATCCTCTTGGCTACACAGTAAGTTCAAGAGCTACATGAGACCCTGTCACAAAAAATAAAAGGAAAAATAAAGATGCTTCTTTGGGCCTGAGAGATGGCTCAGTGGTTGAGCACTGGCTCCTCTTGTAGAGGACTGGGGTTCAGGTCCCAGCAACCATATGGTGGCAAACAACCATCTAGAACTCCAGTTCCAGGGGATCCAATCCCTTTCTGACCACCTGTGGGCATTGCATGACATGGGTGCACTTAACATCCACTCAGGCAAAACAGTCACATACATAAAATAAAAATAAATCAAAAAATTGTTTAAAAAAGAAGATGCTTCTTGCCAGGTGTGATGGCACATACTTTTAATTCCAGCACTTGAGAGGAAGAACAAGGGGGATCTCTGTGCATTCAAGACCAGCCTGGTCTACATAGCAAGTTCTAGGCCTGCTGGGGCTATAATAGTGAGCCTGTCTGAAAAAAAAAAAAAAGCTTCTTACAGATGAGGCTAGAGTCTTCAATATACCAAAAGGCTCTATTGCTTAGACTCCCAGGACCTCAGCCCTAGTTAAATTCTCTGGCCCATTGTCCCAAGAAAACAACAAAACAAACATGCAAATTGGCTATTTTGTCTTCTTGGGAAAGTAGGCAAAGCCTATGAGGTTGCTTTAAACAAACACTGTTGTATACAACAAATTAACTTTTGGAAAAAGCAATTTGGCAACTCTATGTACATACATGCATACATATTACATATCTATAGATTTAAAAAGTATTCATACTCTCTGGTCCACTTCTACCAAATCTTATGGAAATTATCCAAAGCTTGTTTAAAAGGAGTGGAAGTCAGCCTCCTGACTAAATCAGATCTGACAACCATAAAAACTTGAGAAGTTACATCTAAAAGCCTCAGGACTTTTGTGGAAAGGGGTGGGGCAATGTTTCTGGAAGGAATTCAATAACAAGTCCCAAGGGAAGGTGCTTAGGAGCAGTGACAGGCCTTTCCATAAGATCTAATGGTCCCTCACCAGACACAGGACCCCAAGGGAGTAAGAGAGAATACCCCTGGCACCTCAAACCTTTCAACCAAATTACAGTTCATTCTCAATATTAGGAGGCATTTATGCCCAGGCCTTTTTGAAATGGTTTACAACATCTGAATCAACACTTGTTATAGAAAAAGCAAAGGGTTGTCCAAAGCTCCTCCTAAAAGGCAGACGCTCTGGGCCCAGTCACCTTCCCCACACTTGAGTAGTTCCCTTCACATGGAGTGTTTCCATGTGTTTCACTTCTGCACCTTCCTGTTAACTCATTCAGGCACACTGGACAAGTCTGGCTTCCATCTAGGGTCACCTCTCCCAACCTCAGGTTCTTTGGCTGCTAAATGGCCCATCCAATTTACGTAGAAAGGCCAACTGCGATCCTCACCTGAAAACCCAGGCAGCGGCTCACTCCAGCCAAACAGCAGAGTAGCCTGGACGTATCTAGAAAGACCACCTGCTCCTGCTTCCAGCAAGTCAATATGTGCTGAGACCCTCCAGGGGCCGACCTGACTTCAGCAAGCAGAGGCGTCACAAGTTCCTTACCGCACGATGACCTCACCCCATGGACCAAGTTACTTCTGCTACCACATGCTTCGATTTTCCTGTTTCCACCATGGAAAAAGAACCTTTCACTAGGAGAAGAATACGCAGGTCTGTTTTTACTGAGGGCCTACTGTTTCGCTGTCTTATTAATACTGACAATCAGATCCTGGACAGTAGAAATAATATCATTTTCTGTTTAAGATAAGTTAATTCCTATGACTAACTTTCCCAAAAGTTCATAGCTGCTAAGTACTGAGCAGCTGGAGCCCCACCAGGTCGGTCCACGCCCCCGGGGGCAGCCCACGATCCTCAGTCACACAGAAGAGGCTCTGCCGGGTACACCGCCACCCCAGGTTGGGCCACAGGTTCTCCAGGGGAAAGATCTCGCCGCGCCCCTCCAGTCGCCCCGCTGATTGGCTGGGAGGCCCCGGGCGCCGCGAGCCAGGCGCGCCGTGATAGGTCGGGGCGAAGGGGCGGGATGCTCTGCCCCGGGACTCACTCGCTTGTGCTGCGCATCGATGCGGTGCTGGCCTCCCCCCAGCAGCGCGGTGCTGCGCTTGTTCTCAATTCGCTCGTTGACCGAGGCCGCCTGGTGGCAAAGGCGGCGGACCATGGTGCTGAGGCCGCGATCCAGAACGCTGAGCCTCGCTCCGGCCGCCGCCCGCAGAGCCGCCGCCATTTTCACACCAGCGCACCTGAGCACGCATGCGCATAAAGCGTGGCCACCGTGGGTCTGCGCCTGCGCAGAATCTGTGGGCCCGGACGCCCTCACCGAGAGCTTCTAGAAGCCTGAGGTGTGTGCACCTGGTCTTGTCCTATAGGCCAAGTACAGGATTGTCCGTTAGGTCTGCGCGTGTCTGGCTGAACAGAACGGGGACTTAATCCTTGCCCTTCTGTAGCCATCTAGACCCCAGTCTTTGTCGGCCCACTTCTCCCCCAAAATAAGTAAATTAGTAAGCTTTAACCAATTTTTACGGAATGCTGTGCCAGATTTTGCCCATGCTGTAGTTTATATCCATATTTCACAGATGAGATGCACGAAGCACAGAGAGGTAGGTTTGATACGGAGCCAAGACTGAAATTCAAGACTTTTTGTGAGCCAAGTATTGATCCTGTAGCCCTAATATCACATGATTGGGTCTCTAAAAGGGCCCAGGTTACAAATGAAGGGCAGCTGGGGAGATGGCTCAGTGGGTAGAACCCTTGCCACACAAGCAGGAGGGTCTGAGTTGGGATCCCCAGAACCCAGTAACACTCAGGAAGTGATCCCCTCTAATCCGCGGGCACCTAGGTGAGATGTGCGACAGAGATCAGCAGCTCATTGGTCAGGTAGCCTGGCATAGACAGCAGTAAGCAAAAGACCCTGTTTTCAAACAAGATGGAAGATCACTACCAACACACCCCAGTTATCCTGTAACCTCCACATGTAGGCAGCCATACTCACACATGGACAATGTGTACACACAACGATAAAATAAATGTGCATTACGCTTGGCAGAATAGTGAAGCAAACCTTTTCCAGGACCACTGTGTTAGGTGTAAGGACCACTGCAATAGGTTACAATAGAGGAGAGAGATGGACCTCACCTCTGAATACAACAGAGACAAGATCTATTGGGGGGAGGGGGGCTCAATGGATAGAAAATTATTAAGAGGAAGCACCAGGGATAAAAGGCATTCTAGCTAAACCTATCTCGCATGTGCTTTTCTGAAGGCAAGTCAGGGTGCTCAGACATCAGTTGGGGGATGGTGCAACCCTATCAGATATTGAGGGTGATCAGATATCAAGGATGGAGGATTAGCAGGATTCTCAGTAAAGCTAGACTCTACAAGGAAGGACATGGGAACCCAAGGTCAGTTCTATTTAAGGGAAGCTTAGTAGAGCCTAACCGAAGTTTGGTCAAGGGGAGAATCTTGTCAACCCAGCAGCTCTGGCATCACCAAAGAGGAAGTTGGAAACAGACTCCTAAATGCTTAGACTCCATCTCAAACCTACTGAATCAGAAATTGGGGGTGGGCTCGCTGTCTTAGCAAATGGCCTTTAGTTCTGCTTCACAAACTTAAGAATCAGTGCTGCAATGATTTGAAAGTGAACTGTTGACAGCTTGTCCCTCTGTTTGCCCAGCTAACAGGCAGGTTTTCAAGGCAAAGTACAAGGTGCATTATTTCTCACTCCTAGCCACACAAAAAAAAAAACTGCCAAAGTTGATTATTAACACTTCCAGGATCCAGCTCATGGCCAGGGCTTTCATAAAGTACAAATTCTGATCTGAGCTTTAATGTTAATGTAATTTTTTAACCAAACAGTTTTGAGCCACCTATGTACTCAGAATTATCATCGTTAGTTGTGTTTATTTCTTGGATTAGGAATTGTCCTCCTAGACATACACAGAAACTAAATGTCCAAGGCCTGTTGTCTCCCAGCCAAAGACTATCTAGATCTGTCTGACTCCAGAGAAGCAACTCTCAGGCCTGTATTGGGATCCCTATTTTAAGGACCTCACCAACCTGGAGAGGGGGACAAAGGGTTGTTGGCCTTGGTAGAATGAGAGAATTTAAGCAATGCTGTGTGTTTAGAGTATATATGAGGTGGTAACTGCATTCTAGGAACAAAGAGTAATCTAAGATAAAGCAACTGCCTTTAAGCCCAGCACTTAGGAGGCAGAGGCAGGAACTCTGTGAGTTCAAGGTCAGCCCAGGGCTACAGGGAGACCCTGTCTCCAAAGGAAAAAAAAGAAAGGAGAAGTCTGACTCATCCACATGCACACACTCGTGTCCCAGCTTTTGGAGGAATGGTGGCAAATGAGACTGGGAAAAGAGAATGGAATTAGATTATGAAGAGTTAGGCATATCCACAATTGGGACTTTGGAACTGAAGGCAGTGGACCCCTTGTTCTGCAGTTCCTTGGAAGTTTAACTCCTTAAGCACATCCCACACCATGTTAAGATTATTAAGTGGTTCTTACATGAAGGCTCACAACCACCTGTAACTCTAGTTCCAGGGTACCCAGTTCCCTCCTCTGGCTTCCACATGGTACACATACATACATGTAGGCAAACCCTCATACACAGATAAATTATTTTTAAAAATTATTTAGTGGGGCTGGAGAGATGGCTCAATGGCTAAGAGCACTGACTGTTCTTGCAGAAGACCTGGGTTTGGATCCCAGCACCCACATGGCAGCTAACAACTGTCCTTAACTCCAGTTCCAGGGGATTTGATGCCCTTTTCTGTCCTCCGCAGGCACTGCACAACACGGTACACTTACATGTAGGCAATACAACCATACACATGAAATTTAAAAAAAAATTTAATTAAAATTATTTAGCATTCATTGCAGTTAGAAGGCATGACATGCAGCTGCCAGCTCACCACTCTACCCCTAACTTGGAACAAGCTCCAACAAAGGAAGCCTTCAGAATATGTTTGTAAAGTTGAATTGATCTAACAAATACACCATTACATGGGAGTCCACAGGTTTCCACCTCCTATACCCACTTTCAGGCTCTGGGTATATTTCCAGTATGATTTCCTCCAGGCAATGTATCTGGGTCCTCCCTGTGTTTCCCTGGATAAGCAGGGAAACAAGGAATATTAACGTCAAATGCTCAGGACTTAGCTGAAAGCCAAATGCAGGGGGTCAGGCTTACTGTACCTTAACTGCTTCCTCCAGCTGGTCTTTCCTCCATCCCTCCTCCTTTCTCTTTTTATTAGTCTGGTTTGTAGGGGAAGGGCTGGGTGGTTTGTGGTATTTGTTTATTTTTTGGTAGTAGTTTTGCAGTGCTGGGAATCAGACTGGAGTCATGTCCAGCAACTGCTCTGCCTCTGAGCTACATCCGAGACATATATGTCTTTTTTTTCTCCCTTGAGACAGCCTCTCCCTATATCCCCAGAAGGCCTCCAACTCACTATGTAGATGAGGTTTGCCTCAAACTCAGAGAGATCTTCTGCCTCCCAAGTGTTGGGATTTAAAACGTGAGCCATTATGCCCAGCTGTATGCCTATTTTAATTACTATAATGAAATACTTGGAGCTGGGCATGGTGGTGCATGCCTCTGTGAGTCCAAGGCCAGCCTGGTCTACGTAGCGAGTAGTGAGTTCCAAGCCAGCTGGAGCTACAGAGAGACCCTGTCTCAAATTTTTTTAAAAAATAAAAATAAATAAATAAATAAATACTTGGATCAGGTACTTTATTAAAAAGAGGGGGGGTCAGGCTGACCTGGACTCAGCTCACATTTTTAGGTTCTGGAAGTCCAAACAGCACACTGCAGCTTCTAGCAAAGCCCCCCTTGAGCACATCATATTATGGCAGGAGTGTGTGTGACAGGAGTCTTTCATTTGTCTTTTTTAAATTTTTTAAATTTATTGTGTGTATATGATGTATCGTGTATGTGTGTATGACATGTATGCATGAGCAGGGGGCTCATGGCACAGGCTTGTGGCGATCAGAGAACAACTTTATGGAGTCCGTTCTCTCCCTCCAACTTTAGGTAGATTATGATATCAAACTCAAGTCACCAGGCTTGCTCAGGAAAAACCTTCACCAGCTGAGCTTTCTTTTTTTTTTTCTTTTTTTTCTTTTTAAAATACTTTTATTACAATTATTTATTTATATTTTTGTATGTGTGCATGCCATGGCATACTTGTGGAAATCAGAAGAAAACTTGTGGGACTCAGGTCTCTCCTCACACCTAGGTTGGTCCCCAGGATCAAATTCAGGTTAGCAGGCTTGGCAGCAGACACATACACGCAGCTGAACTATCACACCTGTCCAAGATTTTGTTCTCTTTTAAAGAGATGCTGTTATACCTTAGGCAGTAAAGGAAATCTAGAATGCTTAACTTTTTTTAAAAAAATATTTTTTTAATTAAAAGAAGCATTTCATTACAACAGCATTAACCTATTCAATAACATTTTTCTGAGCTAGGGTACATCTCTTTCAAAATTGGCTGTACATTTCTAGGTTTACTGTTGAATTATTACATTTATGAAATATTGTACTCAGTATAAATGCTATAAGACATAAAATTAAATGAGGTTCCAACATTTAAAAAAGATCTCCACTGCATTGTAAAAACACACAGTTTCATACAGAAAAATTCATTTCAGGGCTCTTGACATTGAGATGCTTC